ATTTCATGACTTCAGTACTTTCTTAAACACTCTAAGAATTTGATGGTCCAGGCAACCAGAGTAACTGAGGAATCATCTTGGGCTTAGATATTAAAAAATGTTACATGCAGTTGTGTAAAGCAACACAGAGCTTCTCTTTATGTCAGCAAACAGTGTGATGGAAGAGACCTTTCCAGAAAGTAGTTGGAGTGATTTGATTCACTAAGCTTTAAATTCTTCTCTTTGTGATGTTCCAATACAGGGTTGAGAGTTGTATAAATGAGATGAGTTTATGGATCATGTGAGAGCGAGACAATATCCTCAAGGCTATCTTTCAGAGTGGGAAGTTTCATAAAGTCAACTTGATGTTGTCAGTTCTCCTGCTCCAGAATTCTGTTGCTTGTATTTCTCTCTGCGTGATCAGGAGCTTTGATCTATGCTTTTGCTGAACTCACTTTCTCCACAGAGTAATCAAGATGGTAAGGCAAGATACAGCAATAGTAGTCTTGTTGGACAAGGCATTTGTTTCAAGATGATTCWAAAAGCATCAGACTGCTACATTTATTTCCAGGTATTCTTCCTTCTGTTTAGTATAGGTTTCACTTGTTTCTTGCATGGATGCTGAAGTGGCCTCTGGGATGAACACTATTACAATGGTCTAAAATGAGATATATCCTAGCTACTAATAGGAGAAATGGAAGATCTCCATGTTCACCTGTGTAGTTGAACAGACACCTTTTCAAACTACTGTGCACTGAAGCAGAKAGTCCAGGATGTCAGGATCTGAAATCAACTCAGGTTTCACCTTCGTCCTGTCTTCCCTTCACAAATGGAGAATTCCTTAGCAAGATGGGAATCTTACCAATTTGCAATTTATATTGGTTTACTTGAGGTATAGTGTTCCAGATGAGGACATTCTCAGCACAGATGTATATCATTCAGATATGTGTGTTCTGAGTACAGCCTTGGCATTTTTGTGGTAACCTATGTGAGCCTCAAAATTGTCTTGGGGGATGTTCTGGCATGTTGAAARTGAGCTTATTTGACTCAGTTATCTTCTAACTTTCTTTTCATCTTTTGTGCTGATAGCTAAATTATTTAGGTATAAATCTTGTAGTCAGAATTAACAGAAATTCCTGCTTCTTCTGYCATTTCTCTCTTTAAGTGAGTGGAGGTAGAACAGTTTGTAACTCTGACTTTAACTTTTTTCTGTGGTGTATAATACAAATTCTGGCCGTGTGAGAATCTAGCAAAAGTCTGCATAGAGTGGTCTTTTTGTATTTTGGAATTTAAGTATCAAGTRTATTTGTTCAGGGCAATATTCAAAACTAATAATACTTGATTGTGGATGAGGTTTGTATGAAAGAATTTGAAAATCTCATGCTATTTATTGGGTCTAATATTGCACTATGTATACATATATTTTCAGATCAGRAGTCAGAGATCAAGTGCACATAGTGGGAGATTCTTTGGGTTTTTCCCAAACAACTATGAATACAATTGTTAGTGGAGGACTGTGTTGTTGCTATCCATGTTGTTTCCCCACATAATAAAGACAGAGAAAGGTACTCAAATTAGCACCATTTTGGAARTCATGTAAGATCCTTTTGTTTAATATTGTACTTGTCATTCACTGATTTACAGCAGGACTTGAGGGGGTCTTGGCCCGTTCAGTAGTGCAGTTTAGTGTAATGTGCATGTTCCTGGTCATGCACTGCAAGAGGGGCCCTGTTGCTGCGCAGCCTTCCTGTCCAGATCATGACTCCGTCTGGAGCTAACTGCACTAGACACTGCAAAGATAAAACAGAAATGTCTTGCAGTTGGTAATATATTCAATAGTACCCTTGTTTCTGCAGGAAAAATTCATATTTAGGCCTAGAATTTTTTTTCTTCTACTTTTAAAGGGAAAAAGCTTAATTTTACTGGATCAGGAGCAACAAGCATTAGTGAAATTGTATTCTTCATTGGGGTTTTTGGTAGTCTGATTTTTCAAAATACACTGTTAGACATTAGTATCTTTAAAGAATTAGTTATTTTACAGAAATATTTCATTAAACATTGCATCTAGACCATTGAAGAGGTCTATTTCACAAAATTCTGTGGATAGCATTAAAGACTATCTGCTTTTTTCATGAAATATATTACTTTCTTATCATTGGTATGTTCAAAAGTGTACTTGAATTGCAGTTTTTTTTTTTCTTTGCTCAAATATTGGACTGGGTTTTATAGGAAAAAGAAAATTAAAAGCTGGAGAGTATTAAATCTTCCTAATAAGCAAGTCTCTTTTCCACTTAATTTGTGCTTTTGTTGTGGCTAACAAATAATTTGCTGTATGGGTTTTTCTGTACACCATTGATAGAATATACAAGCTTGTCATCCTAGTGTGCTGGAAATGCTACACTCAAATCAAGTGTTCCTTTCTGGTTTTGTATATCCTCACCTGCTCCTCACTGTAAATCATTGAGATGTCAAGAGCAGTGATTAATTAAGCTGCACGTGCAAGTGCTTTTTTTCACCTGTCAAGTAGGAAGAAAACTTACTATAATGAATTGTGTGATGCTGTTTAATTAATTTCTTTTTATTCCAAGCTCTGAGGTTTGCAGAAATATTTTACAGTATAATTTTCATTAACATTTGTGTATTGATAATATGGTGTGTTTGGGAGCTATGTCTGTCCAAGATTATACTATAGGAAGGGTTGTGTTTAAGGTTCTGGGAAGATAAGAATCATGGTCTGGAGTCTGCATGTATTTTATCTAATGCTGGTCAAATGACTTTAAACTGTCCTCTTGTTTAAATAAACCAATTAATAGTACCTATCAATTTCTTATTTATTTGTATGTATTGTAATAYAGATGTAAT